ACATATCCTAACCTTACACCTAAAGGAGCTAGAAAAGGAACAGCAGATCCTAAAGCCAGCAGAAGGGAAATAATAAAGATGAGAGCTGAAATAAACAATATAGAAACAAAAAACCAGGAACAGATCAACAAAACTAAGAGCTGGTTCCTTGAAAGAATTAATAAATTGATAAACCCCTTGACAGACTGATCAAAAAGAAGAAAGGACCCAAATAGATAAAATCATGAATGAAGGAGAGATCACAACCAACAGCACAGATATACAATTATGAGAATACTATGGAAAATTATATGCCAACAAACTGGGCAATCTGGAAGAAATGGACAAACTCCTAGAAACTTACAAGCTACCAAAACTGAAACAGGAAGAAATCGAAAATTTAAACAGACCCATAACCAGCAAAGAAATTGAATCAGTAATCAAAAATCTCCCAAAAAACAAGAGTTCTGGGCCAGATGGCTTTCCAGAGGCATTCTACCAGACATTTAAATAAAGTTAATACCTATTCTTCTCAAACTCTTCGAAAAAACAGAAATGGAAGGAAAATTTCCAAACGTCTTCTATAGAGCCAGCATTACCTTGATTTCAAAACAAAAGACCCCACTCAAAAGGAGATGAATATGGATGTAAAAATTCTCAATAAAATAGTAGCAAATCTAATTCAACAGTACCTTAAAATAATTATTCACCATGATCAAGTGGGATTTATTCAGTATTTGCAAATTAATCAACATGATACACCACATTAGTAAAAGAAAGGATAAGAACCATAAGATCCTGTCAATAGATGCAGAAGAAAGCACTTCACAAAATATAGCATTCCTTCTTGATAAAAACCCTCAACAAAGTAGGGATAGATGGAACATACCTCAACATCCTAAATGCCATACATGGAAGACCCAGAGCTAATATCATCTTCAGTGGGAAGAAACTGAGAGCCTTTCCCCTTTGGTCAGGAACAAGACAAGGATGTCCACTTTCCCCCTTACTATTTAACATAGTATCAGAAGTGTTAGCCTCAGCAATCAGAAAACAAAAAGAAAGAAAGGGCATCCAAATTAGCAAAGAAAAAGTCGAATTTTCACTCTTTGCAGACTACATGATACTCTTTGTAGAAAACCCCCAAAATTGCTATAACTAATACATGAATTCAGCAAAGTCACAGGATATAAATCACCATTCAGAAATCTGCATTTCTATACACCAGTAATGAAGTAGCAGAAAAAGAAATCAAGGAATTGATCCTATTTGCAAGTGCAAAAACAGTAAGATACCTAGGAATAAACCTAACTAAAGAGGTAAAAGATTTATACTCTGAAAACTATAGAACAATTATGAAAGAAATTGAATAGGACACAAAGAAATGGAAACACAGTCCATGTTCATGGATTGGAAGAACAAACATTGCTGAAATGCCAATACTACCAGAAGCAATCTACACATCTAATGGAATCCCTATTAAAATACCACCAGCATTTTTCACAGAGCTAGAACAAACAATCCTAAAATTTTTATGGAATCAGAAAAGTCCCCAGATGGCTAAAGCAGTTCTGAAAAAGAAAAAGCTGAAGGCATCACAATTCTGGATTTCAAGCTGTATTACAAAGCTGTAGTCATCAAGACAATATGGTACTGGCACAAAAACAGACACAGAGATCAATGGAACAGAATAGGAATCCCAGAAATGGACCTACAACTATATGGCCAACTAATTTTCAACAAAGCAAGAAAGAATATCCAATGGGAAAAAGTCCCTTTAACAAATAGTATTAGGAAAACTGGACAGCAACATGCAGAAGAATGAAACTGGACCACCTTCTTACATCATGAACAAGTAAATTCAAAATGGCTGAAAGACTTAAATGTGAGACAGGAAACCAAAATCCTAGAGAAGAACACAGGTAGTAACCTCTTTGACCTTAGCCAGAGCAACTTCTTACTAGACATGTTGCCAGAAGCAAAGGAAACAAAAGCAAAAATGAACAATTGGGATGTCATCAAGGTAAAAAGCTTTTGCACAGCGAAGGAAACAATTAACAAAACTAAAGGCAGCCTGCGGAGAAGATATTTGCAAATGACATTATCTATTAACAGTTAGTATCCAAAATCTATAAAGAACTTAGAAACTCAACACGCAAGAAACAACCCAATTAAGAAATGAGAAGACATGTATAGACACTTTTCCAAAGAAGATATCCAGATGACTACAGACACATGAAAAGATGCTCAACATCATCATCATCATCATCATCATCATCAGGAAATACAAATCAAAAGCATGATGAGATACCAGCTCACACCTGTCAGAATGGCTAAAGTTAACAACACAAGAAACAACAGTTGTTGGTGAGGATGGAGAAAGGGGAACCCTCTTGAACTGTTGGTGGGAATACAAACTGGTGCAGCCACTCTGGAAAATAGTATGAAGGTTCCTCAAAAAACTAAAAATACAACTACCCTACCATCTAGCAATTACACTACTAGGGTGTTTACCCAAAGGATACAAAAATACAGATTTAAAGGGGTACGTGCACCCCAATGTTTATAGCAGTATTATCAACAATAGCTAAATTACAGAGAGAGCCCCAATGTCCCATCAACTGATGAATGGATATATTCAATGGAATATTAGACATAAAAAAGAATGAAATCTTGCCATTTGTAGTGACGTGGATGGAGCTAGAATGTATTATGCTAAATAAGTCATTCAGAGAAAGACAAATACCATAAGATTTCACTCATGTAGAAGTTAAGAAACAAAACAGATGAATATATGGAAAGGGGGAAACAAGAGAGGGAAACACCACAAGAGACTCTTAATGATAGGGAACAAACTAAACAGAGGGTTAATGGAAGGAGGTGGGTGGGGATGGGCTAGATAGGTAATGGGTAATCAAGATAGTGAGGGTACTTGTTATGATCACCACTGGGTGTTGTATATAAGTGGTGAATCACTGAATTCTCCTGAAACCAATATTGCACTGCATGTTACCTAAAATTTAAATAAAAATTAAAAAAAAAATCTGACACCTGAAAATAATGATAGTTTCTCAAATAGAATAAATATAATTCAAGAAATGTTAAAAAAAAAAAAGGTATACACAAGGCCATTAAGCACATGAAAACATGCTCAACATCAGTAGCCATTAGGGACATGCTAATCAAAATCCCAATTAGATACCGGTTCACACCTTGTAGAATGGCTATAATCAAATAGATGGAATGTAACTGTTGCTGATCTGGAGCAATGGAAATCTTTTGCTGGTGGGAATGTAAAATGGTGTAGCCACTGTGTAAAAGTTTGGCGGTAATACCGTTGTTTGGTATTTACCCTGGAGAAATGAAACCTATATCCACGTAAAACTTGTTCATGAATAGTCATAACATTAGTCTTCATAGCTCCAAAGTGCAAAAAACCCAAAGTCCATCAGCTGATAGATACATAAAATGTGGTCTATCTATACTATGGAAGAGTATTCAGCAATAAAAAGGAACGGACGGATGCTATACATATGGATGAACCTTGAAAACATAAGTGAAAGAAGCCAGTCTCGACAGGCCACATGTAACTCCATTTTTATGACATGTCCAGAATATGCAAATCTATGGACATAGAAAGTATATTAGTGGTTGCTGGGAATTGGGGGGAAAGGAGGGATGGGGAGTAACTGCTAATGGGTATGGGGTTTCCCTTGAGAATGTTCAGGAATTAGATGGCGATGATGGTTGCACAAACTTGTGACTATACTCCAAAAAACAAAATTGTATGCTTTAAGCATGAATCTATGGAATGTGAATTTCTCTAAATGAAGCTTTCAAGCTGTTACTAAAAAAAGAGGGTTTGGGGCGCCTGGGTGGCGCAGTCGGTTAAGCGTCCGACTTCAGCCAGGTCACGATATCGCGGTCCGTGAGTTCGAGCCCCGCGTCGGGCTCTGGGCTGATGGCTCAGAGCCTGGAGCCTGTTTCCGATTCTGTGTCTCCCTCTCTCTCTGCCCCTCCCCCGTTCATGCTCTATCTCTCTCCGTCCCAAAAATAAATAAACGTTGAAAAAAAAAAATTAAAAAAAAAAAAAAAGAGGGTTCTATAAAATAATTCTGGAGTTTCTTATCAAAGTTCTTTTAATAAAAGTTGGAGCACTTAAACAGGGAAAAAAAATATTTTTCCCTTTTCCAGTGAAAAGCAGTACCACACAAACACAACAGCAGACCTCAGTGATACTCTGCAATGGGGACCAGTGTGGAATTCTCACTTTAGGCGAACCTTTAAAAAACCAGTTGAGCTATAGAACACCTTGATTGCTTGAACTGCAAAGAACCATGGCCGCATAAAGAAGCTATGCTTCTTCATTTATTCTTCACCACTGAAAAGAGAGTTGAAACTTGGATTTATATTTGGCTCTTGATTGTATTAAGTGATCAGAATTATTGTGATTCTAAACTTTTTCAAGCATTTCCTGGTTTTCGCTCATGCTTTCTCTATGAACATCTATTGTTTCAGTTTTCTCTGAATCCTTTTCTTTTGGGATAAGGCCCATCACTCATCCAATGTGCTTCTGTTGGGGGTGACCCATTACCGTGTGTAAGACCCAGGCCAGGCCAAAATCATGTGGCCTCATCCCTTTCTCCACAGGGACTGGTCTAATTCAGGGGCAGGTGATCCAGGGAAGACAACAGTCCTTTTGTAGGATTTGATTAGTGGACCCTAGAAAAGGTTAGCTCTTTCTTTTGGATCATGGATCTTAGGGATGTGCACTTTTGGCTGCCAGGCCTCTTCCCCATTATGTGAGAGAGGACCAGCCTGAAAATGAAGGCCGAAACGAGAAAAACAGTCCTGAAATGGAGGACAAGAGCCCTGGCAACAATCAGAGGTTTGTATCCAGCTACGCCTACTGTATGATATTAATATTAAAGTTGTGAGGTTGTTACTCTAGTGAATCGGTGCAAATGAAGCATTTCTCCTCCAAGGTATCAAACACATTTTTAGAACTAAATAGGACAGATTGAGTAAAAGAAATCTTTATCCAAAGCTTTCCCAATAGACATTTTCTCCCCACACTGAATGTTATCAATTTTAACAGTCCCGTCAGTGGCCTTCATAATATTCACAAAGGATGTACCAACCGAGTCATCTGGTCGAAAAGTCAAGTTGGAAAATAACAATCTTTCCACTTTTTGTGATTTAGAACAATTCTCAATACACATTATGTTGCTCTCAGCTCATAGCTGTTCGATTATATTTTTCTTCCAAAAATAACTTAGAGGAAGAATCATTTACTTTATACATATTCAAAAACAGAACTCATCCATTTTCTCCAGTGTTTGTGGAGGGAAATACTGGTCTAACCCATCAGATACAGCAAGTCTGTCTCCTATTTTGGCTTCTCTGTTTTAAGTGATCAGAGAAAATCCTTTGTTGTTTTCATTTTGGTTTCAGCATATTGGCGTCAATATCCTTTTCTTCCTCGGAATCTTGATCTGGCATCCAACTGAAAATAAACATATAATTAAATCAGATTTTGTACAACACAATTAAACACAGCTTTGGTAAGTGGTCTCAATCTGTGACAGAAGTAAACCAGTTTCCAGCACAGTCAAAAAGGCAATTGTCAGAGCTACCAAGAAAAAAAAATAATAAAGATGGTATTAAAAACAAAAGTTCCATTTAAGGTCCCAATAAGGATTTTCTTCTCAAGTAGAATCCGAATTATATTTATATTTTTCCCTCAACTATACTCAATATGTGTGCTTCTAGCAAACTTAATTTTTTTTTATTAAGTTTTGTTTGGGTTAATATTCAGATGTACTTGAACTGCACCAAAAAAACATAAAATACGTAGGAATAAACCTAACCAAAGAGGTGAAAAATTTGTACACTCAAAACTATAGAAAGCTTATGAAAGAAACTGAAGAAGACACAAAACAATGGAAAAACATTCCATGCTCATGGACTGGAAGAACAAATATTGTTACAATGTCGATAACTACCCAAGCAATCTATATATTCAATGCGATCCCTATCAAAATAACACCAACATTCTTCACAGAGCTAGAACAAACAATTCTAAAATTTGTATGGAATCAGAAGAGACCCTGAATAGCCAAAGTAATGTTGAGAAAGAAAACCAAGGCACATCACAATTCCAACTTCAAGCTGTATTACAAAGCTGTAATCATCAAGACAGTATGGTACTAGCACAAAAACAGACAAAAAGATCAGTGGAACAGAATGGAGAACTCAGAAATGGACCCACAAACGTATGGTCAACTGATCTTCCACAAAGCAGGAAAGAATCACCAATGGAAAAAAGATGGTCTCTTCAGCAAATGGTGTTGGAAAAACTGGACAGCAACATGCAGAAGCATGAACCTAGACCACTTTCTTATACCGTACACAAAAATAAACCCAAGGGGCGCCTAGGTGGCTCAGTCTGTTAAGTGTCGGACTTTGGCTCAGGTCACGATCTTGTGGTTGGTGGGTTCGAGCCCTGCATCAGGCTCTGGGCTGGCTCTGGGCTGACAGCTCAGCCCAGAGCCTGCTTTAAATTCTGTGTCTCCCTCTCTCTCTGCCCCTCCCCTGCTTGCACTTTGTCTCCATCAAAGATGAATAAACGTTAAAAAAAATTTAAAAATAAACTCAAAATGAACATTGAAATGTATTTGAAATCTTTAAACAGTGAATCACACCTAACATTTAGGGATTAAAAATGTTTAAAGTATCTACTCATAGGATGACTACATGTTCTTTGACTTAAAGCTCACGGTGCAGCCTCTTCCAAGGGTGGTGGGGTACGTAGAGGGTTTTAAAGTCAGTATATAAGGCAAATTGGCATCTTAGAGGACTAATAGTGAATCACTCTTGGACAAAGGCTGTACCAATCTATTAGTCCACTCAGGAGTTCCCTAGATGGCGCTTTCTAGTGTCAAAGTAGAAGTAATACATAAATATTATCCACATTCTTTTTTCTGAATGATCTCACTTGCAACATATATGTAATTGCTAGGTCATTCACATACTTAATTTTTAGCATACCTAAAATTTTTAGCATAAGCTTTGCAAAAGCTATATAGCCTCTTACCATTGATCTTTTACATTCAAAAAATGAGTATTTCAAAGCTTTGCAGTTTCCTTCCTTCAGACACTGTCGAGGGGATTTTCCTTCCTAGGACACAGAAAACAATATAAATACCTGGAGAATTTCCTCACAAAGTACAAAATAACTATCGTTTTGAAAGTAGTACTTTTTTTTTAAAGTTAAAGAAAAAAAGTAGTAAATTATATGACAAAATATTTTGTGATTCATTTTGACTGCTGATGTTTAGGGAGAACAGGATAGAATAAAAAATGTATCAAATAATTTTGGAGCACTTTTTAGGGTGCCCTTGAGTTCTTGAAAATACTAGTGTCCATAAGATACTTTTCTTTCAAATTTTTATATATCTCACAACTAGTATTATTAGCTCCTTATGGGTAAGAGAGTAAAGGTGAAAGTAATAATTTTTTTTTCCTTCAGTGTTTCTAAAATTTTTACACTCCAGAACTCATCAAGATAGATGAGTGGACATGCATACATGTACACATGCATGTACATACGAGAGATCAGGCCGGCTGTAGTGGGAAATGGGTTTGTTCTGGAAGGACCTATCAAGTGGCTTTAAAGCCTCCAGGTATATATCCTTTTAGTGCAAGCACGATTACCTCCAACACATCCCTGCCCCCCACCCAACGGTCAAATTCTCTAATTTCAGAAGCACAACCACATAGAACTGGAAGAGGAAGGGGAGATGTTAACAGAATTGAGACATATTTGTGAGAGAAGATCTGCCTGGGCCTGATGTGAAATGAACCCAACTTTAAGCAGTGAAAGCTAAAAGAAGGCTAAGAAGCAAACTGGACTAAACCATTCCCTTCCTGCCAAGGTAAGAAGCACCTATAAGAATGCTCACAGGAGAAACTTATTTTTGATTCTTAAATAAGATTTTTTAAACTATAACCATTAAAAATCAGACTTGACAAAATTACATCTGCAAAACTAGGTGAGAGCTAGAATTTAGTATGGGTTTTTCAAGGTAAACATGGAACAAAAATTTTAATACCTCTTCATAATCTTAAAATATTTTTTAACAAAGACATGTTTAACTTAACACAAAGGCATTTAAATATGCTGGACACAGAGAACATCAATAATGTGCTTCAGAATTCAGGGGCGCCTGGGTGCCTCAGGAGGTTAAGCGTCTGACTCTTGATTTCAGCTCAGGTCACGATCTCATGGGTCATAGGATTGAGTCTGGTATTGGGCTCTGCACTGGCAGCATGGGGCCTGCTTGGGGTTCTCTCTCCCTCTTTCTCTGCCAAGCCCCTGCTCAGCCTTTCTCTGTCAAAATTGATAAATGGACATTTAAAAATATATATACTTCACAATTCAAAGAGGCAAGATTAAAATTTAATCGCAGCAAAATTTCTCTTTTTGGATGCCCTATCTTACTAATTTGTCTATTAACTAAGCCCTCACAACTAATTTACTTTAAAAAATATTCAGAATGGCCCCAGATCAGTTCAGTGGAAGGTTAAAAAATGTTAGATATTCCTGCTCAGACAGGGCTTTTACAACCAGGTAGCAAAGAAGGTATACATGTACAAATGCCAACCGGCAGTGTGGCGTGTCACATAGTAGAGAAGTGCCAGAGGGTAACAGGGAGAGGTGCTAAAGGGGTTCTGTTTCCCAGGAATGTAAATATATAAAACAACATCTGGAAAAAGTTGACAGGACTTAAATTTTCTGAATTACCCGAGCTTTAATTACATCAAACTGTGATACGCAATTTGTGAAGAAAAAAAATCAAAACCTTAACATTATGATTACCTATTAAAGAAATAAAACATACACTGCTTATAAACATTAGCCTCATGCAGTGCTTGGCAATATAAAGGAAAATGATGAAACCTTCCTACTCAAGGTGAGTTCCAGTGTAAAATGGGTCAAGCAATTTTGTCTGAGAATAAAATGACCCTGGCTCAGTGTTAATTTTAAAAGCTCAAACAGCCAGAATTAGGTGCCCTAAAATCAGAACATTGTTAGTGTGGTACTGAACGCTTAGAATGTTAATAAGGAACCTAGAATACTTACTACTTAAATAGAAACATCTGGTGCATTCATGCACTGGGAAAAATGTAACCCCAATTTCAACAACTCTTCATCATCCAGGGTTTACCTTCAAGCAGATTTTGGTACCTCAACCCTACCACTGCAACCACTCCTCCAAACCTTTATTTTGCAAGTGCCATGTCACCCTTCTTTTTACTGTGAAAAATGCTACAGGGTACCATATCTGTGGCATTCCCAATTCTTGGGAATCTTGCCACTTTCTAGTCTGTCTGCCTGCTTAGGTTCTAGATTTTAATTGTCATCTGTATCAGTGAATCACAAAAGTGAATCAGAACAGAGTAGCAAGCTTCCCTGCACTGTGTTCCACCCTAAAACTCTGTAATAAGATGTTGCCGATGGGATGTTTGTTGCCCATGTGAATGATGTGACAGCAAACAGAAGAATAAATAAAACTATACCAAAGACTAGAACTCTAAACTGATGCTTCCCCAAACGGTATCTTTTTCATAAGCTTTCATGCCAGACTGCCAACTGCCTAATGGAAAGATCCATCTAATTCTAAGAGAGATAGAGACAGGTTAATTCATCCTCCTTCACCTCTACACCAAATGGCAGACTGCCAGTTGTCCCTTAACATTTAACTCTTCCTTTCTTGTGAGGCATATGGCTGCGCTAGATTTCCCAGCCACCCTTGCAACTGGGTGTGGTCATATGACTAAGTTCTAGCCACTAGAATATGTGAGGAACTGAAATGTAAATCTTCTGCGTTGGTCCTTAAAGGCAAGTGACTTGCCCCCTCTTATCACTTCACATCATCACATCATGGCCTGATGATATGGAAGGAAGGCAATCTTGGACCACACGTGTGAGAATAACATCCCGTCTCCCATCACAGCACCTAAAACCACAAGATCAACAGTGTCTGGGTCTATGGAAGGCTGAGGGGAGCTGTCCAGGACCTATTTACAGGCACACACAAAGAGCAAAAGAGAATTTTCTTTTTTTTTTTTAATTTTTAACGTTTATTTATTATTGAGAGACAGAGCGTAAGGATGGGAGGGGCTGAGAGACGGGGAGACACAGAATCTGAAGCAGGCTTCAGGCTCTGAGCTGTCAGCACAGAGCCTGACACAGGGCTCGAACTCACAAATCGAGAGATCATGACCTGAGCAGAAGTTGGACGCTTAACCGACTGAGCCACCCAGGCACCCCAAAGAGAATTTCCTATCTTGTTCAAGCCAATGTTATTTTGGATATCTGTACCATGTACCCGAACCTATATCCTAACTAATACACTCCCAAGCTTATTTACCTTCTGAGGGCAAGATCAGTGATTCCTGGGGCGCCTGGGTGGCTCAGTCGGTTAAGTGACTGACTTCAGCTCGGGTCATGATCTCACAGTCCGTGGGTTCAAGCCCCGCATTGGGCTCTGTGCTGACAGCTCAGAGCCTGGTGCCAGCTTCAGATTCTGTGTCTCCCTCTTTCTCTGCCCCTCCCCCACTCACACTCTCTCAAAAAATGAATAAATGTTAAAAAAAAAAATTAAAAGATCAGTGATTCCCAAACATGGCTGTGCCCAAGAATCAACGTGGGATACTTTTATAGGGGTAGGAGGAGCAGTGGGATCTATACTTTTAAGCTCTCTGCCCCATCTCCAGGTAATTCTGATTAAGTCAGCAGGTCTGAGAGCTTGTTAATGGAGACACACAGGAGATAACCTGTGATTCAGGTTTCTTGAGCATAGTTTCAACCTTTTTGATCCCCCAGGAGTCATAAAATCCTAAGAAGTCTATCCAAGAGCTGCCTTTTGAATCTGCTTTTTCCTTGCTTCTCCTTTCCAGCCCCACAGGGGTTGACATCCTCACCCCCATTACCCTGAGCTTCTCTCAAACCCTATAGTTCCTTGACTATTTCCCATTGTAGCACTAAATATTTATTTTGAATTCCTCCTGAGAGTCAGGTCCAGCAGCTTTTCCAGTGGGTTAAAGATTGGCAAGGAAGACTACAGCATCCATCTGCTAGAAGATCAGATTAACTTTATACAAGGAGCTAAATTTTATCATAAATGAGGTCATTCAGGGCAGACACAGACCTCAGCAGAATGTCCCTTGGTCTTCAGAGTCCCTAGGAGGGGCATGGTAGGCTGTAGCTGCCGGTGACACTATCTGAAGAGGTAGGATATTGTCCTCTTATCTACAGACCTCAATGTTTTGCCTCAATACTGCCCTTTTACACTCCTCTTGAAGTCAGGATGAATTTAACATAAACTGTACACACATTCCCATTTAAAGTACTTTTTTACAAACATCATGTTCTCTTAATTGACCAGCATCAATAAAGCCACATATTCAGCTGGGGAAAGCAAAGTCTGTGCCATGTGTCCTGGCCATTATCTCTGCCCAGTTTTCCAGAGATCTAATTTCTACACAGGAGGGAATGTATCCCAATCATCTGTATATCCTCTGAATTAGAGCTTGGCACTCAAATGCTGACTAAATAAATGGATTATTGCAAAAAAGCAACTTGGTATCCTCCTTGCCTTCAGTTTCCTCCTCTACAGGTTCTTTTCTCAGTCCCATCGTGTACTTTATTCCCTTGATTGCTCATCTCTATGGCCTTCTGATGCTGAGGGTCAGGAGAAAATCTAGGGCCCTCACTCTGACATACAAGGGCTTTCACACGACAGTCTTCCTCTCAAGCTTTCTGTCACATTCCCTATCACCCAGGCCTAAGAGGGCACTAGCTTCTCTTGGTCACATCTCTCTGACTTGCCCATGCTGTTCTTTCAGCTTCTTTCCTCAACCACCACATTCCCCACTCTTTTACTTGATAATCTACTACTCCAACTTTAAGACTCAGATCAAATGTCACCTTTTCTGTGAGAAGTTTCCAAGTTCTCAAGAATAAGTTGCTGTTCATTGGACTCCTGTAGCATTTTGTTTCCAAATCTCATCATTAAACAAATATTAACTAAATGCTTACACAGCCCTTATTACAGGAATTTAGCTCCTCACATGTCTGTTCTTCCCATCCGACTAAACTCATTTAAGGTAGTGACTGAAACAATTCATCTTTGTGTCACCAGTGCATGGCATCATGCCTGCCACTTACCAGGCGTTTACTAAGAGCTGGCTGAATATCTGCACCAATGAAGCAGCAGATTGGAAACAGCCCTGGACAGGGTACCTCAGTTTCCACATCTGTGTGAGAGAGCTGGACTAGAGAATCTCTTAAATTCATAACAACTCAAGCTTTACAACACACCGGAGTGACCAGTCTCACTGACTGCTAAAATCAGTGAACCAAATGTAAATCATGAATCAGTAGAAATACTGATACAGCTTTATGATGGATATCCATTTTGGGGCAGTTGTCTTTCCTTTGAAATAAGAGCAAATTACCCAGGTCCCCAGTTAACTTTGGACCTCACTGCTTGCCTCACTACACTAAGATTGAGAAGACGTGGCTGTAGTGAGGGGAATGTAGTGGAAGCAAGATACAGAATAGTGGAAAAATGGAGCTGCTTCGTTTACAACTTATCCAAGAACGTATCGAACTCCAACTCAGAAACAAACCCAAACCAAGAGAAAGTAAATATAACATATATTCAGCCATAACGGAACAGAGAAAGGAGAAACTGCTAGTCAATACAGTGTACCAGGTTTATGTAATTCTCTGTTAATTTAGAGTCTCATTTCCTAATACGCAAGAAACCTGTCTCATTCTCCTTTATATCTCCTGAAGCTAGCAGTGGCAGGCAGCATCTAATACAGGTTTCTTGAACCGAAATCGTTTATCTTTACAAAAATCCAAAGAGGTGGTTTTCTTATCTCCAATTTAACACCGGAGGGAGCTGAAGCTCCGACAGCGGATGTGCCCAGGTTCATTAAACTGGAGCTGTGATCTACACCTACGACTTCTAACTCTGGGTCCCGTCTCCTGACCACCACCGCAGGCTGACCGGGAAACCTTGGCCGGGCCCTGCCTCTCCGGTTCCAGCGTCTCATCACCCCGAGCGCCCGGCTGCGCTACCTGGAGCACACAGTCCGACTGCAGCAGACATGCGCCCAGGTCCTCCTTCACGCCCGCGCACGCGCCGCCCTCCGGCTTATCCTCGTAATACCGGGGCATGACTGCGAGGGGGCCCCAGCTGCCGAGACCCGCTTCCGTCCGCAACGGCTGCGACCGGGTTGGGAGCAAGCGACACTCGCGACGGCAGGAACCGGAAGCCGGCAGAAACAACTTCCGACTGGCCCCCGGAAAACTACGGGGCGCGAGAGGCCGCGGGCGCGGCGGAAGTGGGCGCAAGTGACGCGTCGGGCCCCCAGCGCCGGCTACGTTGCGGGAAGGGAAGTCGCGCCGGCGGGTGCTGGGCTGGGCTGCGGGGTTGGGCTGCGGGGCGTAGGTGGAGGGCTAGCTTGGACCCCTTGGAGGCCGCAGCGGGGCTCCAGGTGAGGCTGGAAGACCGCTCTGCCAGGGGCGCGGCTCGGGCTCGCTAGGTGTCTTTTCCTCCGGCACCTCACGGCCCGGTGTTCCTCGGCTCTGGAGTGGCCATACCCGGGTCCGGCTGCTCGGCCTGCGGTAGAGTTGTCAGAAACAATTAAGGACGCCCAATTACACTTGAATTCCACATAAACCACGGACGACGTTTTAGTGTATGTCCGACACAATGTTTCGGACATGCTTATGCTAAAAACTATACCTGTATTTGAGATCCAAATGTAACTGGGCGTCCTGTGTTTTTATTTGTTAAATATGGCAACCCTGCCCGCAGCCCCAGGCTGACGTGAACACCTGGGCCCCGCGAGGCGCTGCTGGCGTCTGGGGGGCTTGGGGAGTGGAGCGGGGAACTGGGCTGCCGGGACGTGGGGGCTGGACGGTGACCTGCGCTCACCGGGCTTCTGGACTGATTACAACCGCTGCCATTCCCTCTGCTGAACTATTTCAGGGAGTAAAACACTGTGGACTTGAGTTTTGTTTTTATGTCACATTCTAGTGAGAATTGCTTGATGGTCTTGCACTGATGGACCTGTGTGAATAGGCCATTTATTTTTACCTTGTCGATAACGTTTCTAATTGGCTGT